AGTGAGGCAGACGAACAGCTGGAGCCTGTTCCCAGTGAGCACATAAGCAGAGTTGCCAGATGAAGGGAACAGCTAAAGAACAGGGGTCAACTTGGGAGTAAAGCCACAGGTGGACGATGAATGGCCCCTCCCAGAGGAAATAAGAGGAGCGAAAGGCGAGTGGAGTTTGCAGGAGACTATTAGTTCGCTTAATTGGTTCGTGATTCTCCGAGACTCCTTGCCAAATTTTGCAGATATTGTCTGACAGCTCTCCAAGCCAGATAAGATCTGTGCCTGTAAATCCTCCCTCAAAAGACTTTGCTGGATGTGAATGAGCAGAATTCACAGTCAATTAATAAAAGGTTTTTTTGTCAGGATGAGGACTTGGCTTCATGCTGCTGGGAAAGCCTGGGTCAGAACAGGACTTTACTAATCTAATCCACTCCCCAGCCTCAACCTCCCACCTTCAAAGGATATGAATCAGCCCCATGCAATAGGCTCTTTGTTTACCTGTCTCAGGTAATGTATGACAGCCCCCAAAGCTTCCTCCAGGATCCCCACCAGCTGCACTTTCTGGGTCTCTTGCAGGAGAGAGCCTTTCTCACGGGTACACTCCACAATGGCCAGCTCCATCAGGATGTAGCAGGCGGCCATCAGTTCCCGCTTCTTATCCACTTCCGTCAGGTCCAGCTCCTCCAAGGTCAGGCGGACCTCCACGCAAGCTAAGTTGACCAAGAGGGCAAAAAATTTGCTGCCGGAACTGCCGGTTGGGATCCAGGCTGAGCTGCAGGCTTGGGAGAGGCAGGCCGAAAGCTTCAAGGCAGGGTCTCGCTGGGAGGCGCTTAGCTTGCTTGTTAAGATGCTCGACAGGCCTCGGTAGAGGGGCAAGAGACATTCGGAGCCCGGGGGGAGAAGAGGAGGCACAAAGCGGGCCAGCACTTCGCACAGCTGGAATTTGGTCATGTCTTCGGCCTTCTGGAACTCCGCGCTGAGGACACTAAGCACGCCCATGAGGTCAGTAGTAGCTCTCTGCCAACACTTGGTTTCCGCCGACGTCAGGAGCCCCACCAGCAGTTGAAGGGCCTGGTCGTAGCCATAACTGTGGTTCACGTAGGCCTGGCAGAGGGCGGAGAGGCCCCCCCTGTTGATCAACTCTCTGGGACCCTTGGGGGTAGCCAAGATGGCTCGGAGGCATTGGTAGGCGTCATCAATCATGGCACTGTAAGAAGCATCTCTGGTCTTGGCAGAAACCACGTCGCTTAAGATGGGAATCTTGTTCAGCATCTGTGGATGCCGGGCTAAATCTGGATCTGTACAGAAACAGGCCAGCAGAGTGAGGCCCAGGGCTTGGAAAGTGTGCTGGGGGCAGCCCTCAGGGGGATCCTTGGAAGTCAGGAGCCGGTTTGGGAATGTGAAACCGACGGCATCGAAAATCCTTCGACGGGCTTTGGAATTGATTTCTCCTGCTTTGATGGCTTTGGTCACCTGAAAAAAGTAGCAGGAGGTATCAAAAGGGAGGGGGCGGAGAGAGATTCCAGTCTTTGCCAGGGCTAAGAAATGAATTAGATTAACACTCTCCCCTCATGCTGTCCATCTTTGATTTATATGAGAAGATTAAACTCTATAATTCAATAAATGACCTAAATAACATTCAAAAACTCCTGGACATCATCATTATCACCACTACCACCACATTTTACAGATGGGACCCAGGTGAGTAGTTAGCCAACTACTAATGAGTAGCTAAAACAAACAAGGAGTGATTTCCTTCCTTCCTCCGCCTACCAGGTCAGGGACTTACCAGGAGCAGAGCTGCAAACTGTTCGCTATCATTGCTTGCATCGCGAAATACATTCAGGCATCTCTCCAGGGTACAATTCTTGCTGCTCTCACCATCATCAACAACAATTCCCGAGTTTGAGGCCATGGTGCCAATGTTGACTGTCCAAAAAAGAAAAGAAAAAGAGGAATAACTGAGACAGGGAGGCTCCACTCCAAAGTAATACTGGAAAAAGCAATCATGAATCTGGCTTTCATTGTCAGGAAGGAACTGGGTGCCAACTGAAAGTGGCCCTTTTCATCTCCTGGGATGGCCATCAAACCAACATCAGGTTTGGCCCAGCTATTATCAGGAGGAGGAGCAGCTGCAGGCAGCTTGCCTCTTCCATCCTGCCAGAAAGAACACTTAGCTCCAACACCCCACCATCCTACTACTGTCAAAGTAAAGAGCACTTTGGTCTCTCACCCATCTGCCAAAGGAACGAGAACTGTCAATTGTTATTTAAGGAACAACACAAGCGAAAGCAGGGCAGCCCACCCCAATCCAAATTGCCTGAAATAACAACCTTTAGCTCACCACTATATCCGGCTTTGAAGACTTGCTCTTTTCCTCCTTCTTCCTTTTAGATTTTTGCTTGCAGGCCTGATGGTAGAGATTTTCTCTCCTTTGATGTGAGCTGCTCTGGAAAACAATGGCCCCGTGTTTTGTTTTGTTTTTTAAAAAACAATGACAAAGAATTTTTGGGTTATCAGAATTGAGTGCTGTCCAATTAAATAGAGTAGATTATGATAGTCAACCTTCAGCGTTGAGTCTACAAATAGATCTGGGGATCTGCAGATCGTGCAGACAGATTTATGTTATGGATTAAGGAACACGATGACACTATTTGTTTGCAATGTGAACTGAAGGGGAAGGACCAGTCGTTTATCATACCAGGTGACTTTCTGTATCACCTACACATTGCCAGCTCACCAGACCTTTGGAGGTGTGATGGCCCAGTTAAACTGTCCGTCCCAGTGCCAACTCCCTGCCCCCACTCCCAGGCCGATTTCAGAGGTCTCATTGGAGTTTCCCAGCACTCTTGCAGGCAGCTCTATGCCCCTCACCAAGCTCTGGAATATGGTGCTGGCAAGAGCAGTAGATAAGGATGGCCCCAAGTGGCCTCTCCTTGCAGATCCCTGTAAATTCCTTGGTTTACTGAGGAATTGCAGTTGTGGGGGGGAGACTAAATCTGATGGCTCATGGTACACATTTATGAATGCACCATAAAAATGGGAAAGTTTTAACTTTCTGGGTCTGCAGAGTTGCATCCAGTGACTCTGTTCAGCCTCTGATTTGGGAGGCTGCTGTGACATATTTACAAATTATTTTGGCAGATAAAATTGCTTGTATTCTCCTCAGCTGGTTTCTTCTTGGAAAGAATCTTGGCAAAAGATTCTGGCAAGGGATTATTTGGAGCTTGTGCAGACCAAGGATGTGGAGTGGGGCTGTGGCAATAGAAGCTTTGCCCCCTGCAAGTTTGACTCATGATCCGACTGGACTATTCATGCAGCCGGTCGGGGCATGTGGGTTGATTTCATGAAAATTAGGGAAACATGTGAAGAAGGAGAAAGACCAAGAGATTGGGTGCAGGCAGGAACTTTTAGAAGATGAAGAAAGGCATGGAGAAAGATAAAAGGGAGGGAGGTGCATTCAGTCCCATTACTATAGCTTTCCAATAAAAGCAGCATTGACCTACATGGCATTGGTTTCCTAGTTTAGTCTCCCTTAAAGGGCTGACAGGAAGGCCACCCATGAATCGGAAGAAAGATCCCCATCCTCATTTATTAAGATTGACTTTCTTTGGTTTGTGGGCCTTTTTAAACCAGAAAGCTCTGGTCATCCACACAGGTAGACTATAGTCTATAGATAGATGCTCAGTGTAGGACCACCTGTGAAGATAACTCAGATGCTTCAACTAGTGGCTTGGTCTATCAGTTGGAGGTAGTGTACATTTATTGTGCTGCACTGGCTATTGGTTTACTTCTGGGTTCTGTTCAAATTGTTGGTTACCATCTTTAAAGCTCCTCATGCATTGACACTTGCAGGACTGTTTCTTGCCCTAATTTAGTCTCTCTGACACTGTCTTTAAAGCAGGGCCTGTTGTCAGGTCCAAGCCCAGAGAAGAAACAGAGAGATCCAGTAGAGTCCAATCTTTTATGTACTTAGTTAGTAGACTGAATCTTGCCAAACTAAAGCTATAAGCTTTCTAAGCTATTAAATATATCCTGACAGATTCTAGGATGTGGCTAACCTGAACGCCTTTCCCCCCTCTCCCATCCAACTCCAGGCTGCCCAGTCTCTTCATCTGAGTCTCTTCCTGGGACAACTCTCGAGTTGGTCAAATCCTTCCCCTATGCTGTTGTAAGCGCACACTCCCATCACACGAGTGGAAGGTTCCCACCCAAATGAACGTGTGGTGGAAAGTGGGAAGGTACATTCTTCGTGGCTTTCTTCATTTTTTAAAACCGTGATGGTGAATCTATGGCACTCGTGCCAGAGGTGGCATGTAGAGCCTGCTCTGCTGGCATGCATGCTGTTGCCCCAGGTCAGATCTCCCAGTGCCGTTTCTTTCGTGAGCTTGTTTCCCTGCACACGACGACACAGAAGCTCATGAAAGAAAAAGATCTTACGTTTTGCCACGCTGCCGGTGTTGGGATGCCCCGCCTCCCAACGGACAGCTGGCGTTTGGGTCTCTGCTGCATGTCCATGCATACGCATGTCCATGTATGCACATATCTACACATGTGCATGTCCGCACATGCATGCATTCGCATGCACACACGTTTGGGCATGCACGCAGGTACAGTTTGGGCACTTGGGGTCTAAAAGGTTCACCATCACTGTTCTAAAAGTTCTTGCCTGCCAAGACACAGAAGGCACCCAGCCTCTTGGTCTTTCAGAAGCCACTAACCACCTTACTATTCCACAGGGCACTTGGACACGGAAGGCAAACTGGTTGCCTTCTATTGGTTAGATAAGAGTCATATAACGTTTGTGTCCATTACTGTTTCATTTGGCTGTAAAGGGCCTTGGCTTCTCAGAAGTGGGTGGCCTTTTAAATATTTATATATAAATAAATATTTATATATGCAGAAACTCAGGAATTCATCAAAAGAAGCAGAATGAGGCTATATTCAGAAAACCTGTTTCCTCTCCCAACCCCAAATAGTTATTTTCCGGCAAACTAATCCAAGGAGAATAATTGGGGGGTGGGGAGGAAGAGAGAGAGAGAGCGCTTTTCAACTGGTTCTATTGTTAGACAACCATGAGTCATAAACTTTTGCACTGGCTGCATGACACCCTGATCTGCCACTTCTGATCTCCTGCCCATTCCTCACCTAGAAATCTCTGCAAAAGATTGTTGAAAATGATGTTCTACGCGAATCATTGAACAGTGTAATAAAACTAGCCTAAGATTTAAGGATTGTCATTATTGCTACGTAGAATTCAGATTCTACTTCATTTCCCTTTACATATAAAATGTTGCCAGTATATTGGGCCTTAACCACTATAACGTCTTCAGAACAAGTTGATTTATATTGTTCGAAAACCTTCAAACACCATTTGGAAAATTGCAAAATTCAGCAATATACAATTGCAATCAACTGTTTTATTTCAGACATTTGAGGGATGGCTGTTGGCTAATCAGGTGGGAAATTAAGTCAACATCGAAGACAAAATGTTTTAACATAGCTCAAATGAGGAATGAAGCTGTGCAAAGTGTCGACGGAAACATAAAAAATGTTCTTTTTCTAATATTTAAGTCCTTCTTTCCTCTTTTGCTTCGCTCAACCTTGCTGTAATGCACGCTATAAAATATTCTACAATGTATAATGGTTCTGCAGCATATTTCACAGCAGACCAACTAAAATAGAAATAGCTCCCTTAAGAACGGAGCGTGGAAGGGAAGCTGTGGCAGCTCATGAGCCAGCCTAGATATAAGGAGGAATTTCATGACGGTGAGAACTATTAAGCAACAGAACAGCTTGCCTCCTGCAGTTGTGANTCAAAAAAAAATAAGACCCTCTCTTATTTTGGGGGAAACACTGTACTTAAATTTGGCCTTTTTATGTAACCTAAGTATATGAGCTATTGTACCAGATGGATATCTGGTTTCGCAACAAAGTGCCACGTAAATACTGCAGACTTCCACATTTACAGAAGAGAGAACTGAACTTTGATCTCTTCCTATGTTCTCAAGGTGTTTTAACAAAGGTGAGCATAGTAGCAGTAGTAACCTAATTCTGTTAGTCATCCTAGAGCAAAACGTAAAAAAGGCATAGATGAATTCAACAGTGTTGTGATATAGGTAGACTAGACAGCTCGCTGTCATAATTTAATGACTACCTGCCATACATGGGAGTTCAGGCTGTCATATGTCTTCCAGCATTGTTGACTCCTAATGCAAGCTGAAAATGTACCCGAGAATCCTCTGCAGTATTCAGGAGCTTTTCAGGTGAACTTTCTGTTCATGTGCAGCCACTGCAGAAGCTTTACACTGATTCTGGCATGGCCGATCCCTTATGTAATCCAATAATGTGATGAACAGGCTATCCAAGTCATCAGGAACAAACTTCTATGCTTTTTTTTCTAGGATAATAATACCAATCTAACCCAGTGCTTATTGTCATGTGGATAGGTTATTCTATATAGGAAAGAAAAGGGAATTTTATGATGTTTCAGAATTTAAATTGATTTAACAATATCCGGAGCTAAATTGCTACTAGATTCTGGAACCAGCAAAATTTACTAGTGAGGCAGTTCAAATGCAGTAATGAAGTTACCTAAATGGTAGCTGCCTCTTATTATAATTTTGCCTTGTTTTCCCCTCCACTGTTCATTTTCCATGGTGAAATACAATAACCAGATTATAAAATTTGCTTTGTTTTGGGAAAGAGCCAAAGTTTCAAGTTACATCAGGTTTTCGGTTCCAGCAACTAAATGGAATGTTTTGCTAGTGACCCTACCAGACAATGCAAACCTTTGTGAACTGTTGTAAGTTGCGGACTAACTGAAGTTATTTTTTGTATAGGCATAAGACTAGGGAAATTCACTGAGAGTTAAAATAAAAGTAGAATCATTCTTGATAGAATTATTCTTTCTGTTCTTCAGATCCCTTGTAATGAATACATAGAAAAGGCAAAATATAAATGTCCAATGTAAGTCTGAGATAAATGTAGGTGCAGGCTAAGCAGAATTCCATTTAAATTAAATTAAGGGAATATGCCTGAAATCAGTACAATTTATACAGTACAGGTAGTCATTCACTTACAACAGTTCACTTAGTGACCGTTCGAAATTACAATGATAAAAAGTGATTTATGATCATTTTTCACACTTATGACCATCCCCATGGTCATATGATTTACCCTCAGATGCTTGACAACTGGTTAATATTTATGACAGTTGCAGTGTCCCCAGGAGAAGGGGTGGGTTCCGGCAGAGACTACTGCTGGTTTGTTCAGGAATGCGCTGCGCAAGTGTGCTGTGCGTGCATGCTCAGTATAACTAAAATTGCTCTGCACATGCACAGAAGCAAAAAACAAGATGATCAGAGATCCAGTTTGGGGGTGTGGCAGGCCTGGGTCGCTGCAGGTTCCAGCGACCCAGGCCGCCAGGCTACAGTCCGAATCCA